TGACCCGTGGCGAAGGGCGCAGCTCTGCCCCGAGGTTAATTAGGAATCGAGATTAATCGGAGGTCTCGCACGTGCTGCGGTCCCTTCTGCAGCAACCGGGAGAGCAGGGGGCTGCCGGGTGAAGGCGCAGAGGCCATCTCCGCTTTCCGCCTTCCCCCGCGGGGGGCCGGAGCCGGGCGCTGTGGCGGTGCTGGGGCAGGGAGGAGGCTGGCGCGGCTGCGGTGTGCCCTGCAGCCGTCGCAGCCGGAGACCCGAAACGCTGGCGCCGAGGCGCGTGTTGCCACCGCGAGCACGGTCCTGCAGCTGTAGGAATAGCTATAGCACGTACCGCTAACGTCAGGAAATCACCTTGTGTTCTGTTCCTCAGTCTCGTGCCTTTCAAAATGACATAGGTAGAGAGATTGGGTTTTCCATCTGTTCATTTAAAAATAATTCTCGTTTCAGTGGAAACAATTTTGAAATTATCATCATAGATGATGGAAGCCCGGATGGGACGCAGGAAATTGCTGAACAATTGGAAAAGATATATGGATCAGATAAAATAGTGAGTTGTGTATTCTGGTTTTTTGGGGTTTGGTTTTTTGGTTTTTTTTTCATTTTTATTGTATCGGAAAGTACTCGAAGTCCTTAGAGAGCTGGAACGGAGTCCCTGGATTCTGCACTTTCTTTACATCCTTAAACAAGTTTTTGCACACCGCTTTAGACAAATGTAAAATTATGATAGTCATGCAGCTGCTTAGCAGTGTTATGAACCGATATACAGAATCGTGGATTAATGTCTGCAAAATGTTTTCAATACTTTGTGTATTGCTGTGTGCTGTTGAGTAATGCGTAGTGGTTGTTAGTGTACTTTGTGCGTGCCTGAGGGAAAGATGAGGTTTGGATAAACTTTCACTTCCTCTTAAGTGACTGCAGGAACAGGGAAATTGGAAAGATGAAAGCTAGTCTGGTCTTGTGATTTATTTTTAATTTGTCTAGTTGCATTCCTCAATAATAGCACTTCTTTTTTTTCTATTTAATATATTACCATATAGCCATCAATTACATACAACAAGATAGTGTCATTTATTTAGTCTTTATGAGCCATTAAAGCCACTATTTTTTTTTTTGGCAATAGAAGCTTTATCATAGAACAGTGTAAAAACCCAACATTCAGATTGAAAGTTTTGTGCTGTAAGCAGTGTCAGGCACTTTCCTAATCTATTACCATGTAAAAGTAAGGTTTTAAAAAGTATTTGTGAATTAAGTACGACTTACAGCGATTACTTTAAGAACAGTGTATATAGGAAGTTTTAGAGTCTTTTTTTTTTTACCCCCTTTTTTTTTTTTCCTTTTTTGATACTAGTAATAGAAAACTTTAAAGTAGTTAGCCAACCTTTCCTCACTGCTTAGGAGTTTAATTTTGAAGTTTAATCTGTGGACCAGCCCCTGCAGCAGTGTTGAGAATCACGTGGCGGCACTGCCATCAGCTCCCACTGATATTACTGCAGTTGTGATTTTTCATTAGGTGAATTTTCATTGTTTCCTGATAATGTTATTTTTTCTTACACAAAATTCTTTTCTTTGTTTCCTGAGCAAAATCATTGTTCTGATTTGTGCTCAGGAGTCGTCGTCCAAATAACTCTATGGGGCTTCTCACTTACCATGTTCTGTGAGCATAATGTAGTATGCAGCTAACTGAATGAGAGGCCAACATGTTCAAGGAAGTAGATGAGGAATCAAAGTGATTTTTTTTTTTCCTTTTTGTTAATGTTCAAATTTAACTATTTATTAAAGAAAAAAAAATACCAACAGAAACCAAAATAACAAGTCAGCAGAGTAATGATTACTCTTTCATATCCATGTCCTTCTCTGAATTACATTACTTATGACCTCTCAGATAATGCATGAAAATTAGCCAAGATTTAAAAGTGAGATTTAAAATTTGTTTCTGAAGTATATTTAGATGACTGCTTAAATATCTGCCCTCACCTCCCCAAATGCCGACTTACATCAAAGACACTTTAGGAAGAGTTGAAAGTTAAATTACTGTCATGATGATCTAAAAGTTAGATTCCTCTTTTGTTAGTGGCAGTGCCCCATTTCCCCCCTGCACTTCATATGGCCCTGCAGGAGCTGAAGATACTTGGCACAGGTTTAAGGCTTGGTCACTCATATTCTGAAAGATTAATAATACTGTTATATGGTTGCTATTCATGGGTTATATCTGTATGCACATGAATATCTTGAAATTTATATTCAGTACTAAAAGTACGCTAAATCACTTTGGGAAACTTGCTAAAATATTTGCTGTTAGTGTTTGTCATTCCTTAAAAGTAATGGTGCTGGGGAGACTGTTGTTTGGATTTGTAACTGTATTTCAAATAGTGGAATTTGAGGAAATCCTTTAGTTACTAAGATGGTGCTTTTAGTTTTGTTTATTTTACTGCAGAACTACTAAGTAACGCTTAAAAGGGGTTTGTTTTTAAATATGACCTGATCAAATACCTGTTTAATATAATGGTATGTTTCTCCTGTATTTTGACAGGTTAAATTTATTTTGATATGTTATCTAGATTTCTAAAAATAAAAAGTATATTTTAAAATATTTTTATTCCTCAAAAATAGCGAATTTTAAGGTGTCACTAAAATTAATTAAAAACTGTACTTCAAGTAATATATGCATATTTTAATATATCCTGCAGCTTCTAAGACCCAGAGCAAGAAAGCTGGGACTCGGTAAGTCCTTATTAACTCTGGTTAGTACTAAAAAAAAAAAAAAAAAAATCTGCTGTATTCTTCGATTGATTCTAGTGTATAAAGTTCCAGAAAAAATCACAGTAAAGCCAAAAAGCAGGAATATATGTTTTCATCAAGTTTTTTATAAGTGAACAAGCTTAAAAACCACACACACAAAAATCACAGTGTGTTATTTATAACAAGTTCCCCAAAACCTCAAACCTGACAACTGTGGTCACTGCAATTCGGTACCACTATGTGTTCCTGTTAGCATCGTGCTGCTTCTCTCCCTCCCAGACTGCATTCACTGATTACAGAATGAGGGGTCTAAATTGAGGAAAAAATGTAACTTTTTACAAGAATAACTGCTATATTTGTGTGGAACCTACTGATCCCGAGGGGACAGTGGTACTTTCTGTGCAATCTATCCATGTGCAGGATGCTTCAAAAATGGGACCATGGTTCGTGCAATCTCCAGAGAAGGCTGGGATGTTTTCCTGACACGTATTTGGACAGAGCTCTTGACAGTTAAACCCATTTTAGTGTGAATTATGACTCTAATTAAATGAAAAAATAGGTATCTGACAGATGTCCAGCACTCAAACTACTATGTATTGTCTCAGCTATTAACCAAC